TTCCCTGTGTTCCATCTTTTCCCTGTGTTCCATCTTTTCCCTGTGTTCCATCTCTTCCCTGAGTTTCATCTTTTCCCTGTGTTCCTTGTCCATGCCGGAGGCCAAAGGGCCTTGGCCAAGTTGTCCCGGTCTGGGTGTCCTGCAGTTGGAATTACAACTCCTTCCTCAGCTCATGGAGCGACCGAGGTGGGATGGAGTCACCCCATCCTGTCAGGGATGTCCACCGGATCCCCCAGGGTTGTTTGTCTGTCCTCAACAACCGGGAACGGCTGCAGACGGCTCCTGCTGCCTTCGGAGCCAGGCGCTCCAAGAGCAAACGGGACCTGGAGGTTTTTCCCTGGAAATCCCAAGGTGTCCCACCTGAGCTGCACGGTGAACATCTGGGAGAGACTTCCAGGACATCCTGATGTTAAAGCTGAGCTCTTGCTCCGTGCTGAGCTGAAATCCTTTAATTTTTTGGGAGCAAAACCCTGACTGTGGCCCAACACTCCCTTTGGGCAAAGCCATCCTTCTTCCCAACTTCTCAGCTCCAGGAGAGACAGGCTGCAAAATGTTGGTGCCACTTTGCTCTCGTCAATGTGGATATCCTTGGAGTCTGGGAAGTTGGATTTCCCAGGAATTCTGTGGCTGCCACATCCCTTGGCACATTTTTGTGCTGTCCCTTCCTTTAAGAGGAATACAAAGGACTGACAGAAAATGCCAATATAATACCTTGGAAATAAAAAGAGAATTTTTTTTTTTTATCCTGGCACAGCTCTTTTGCTAATTTTTTATCCATCAATATACATATCTATACATATATTTGCATATTGATAAGATATACATACATGACACTCATTTTCTTTCATAGACAGAGGGAGTTAAAATAGATTAATTAAAAATCCCCCTAAATTAATTGGTATTTTTTATATTTATAAAAAATTCCCATCTAGATTTGATAATATTTCCTGTATTTATTTTTTATATTTATTGCCTCAGGCAGGGAATGTGAGTCACTTATTGCAAAGTTCACACTCCATTTGGAAACAAAAGAAATCCATTGTCGCCTTCATCGCTTGTTTGCCTTGCAATTCCGAAGAGTAGAAAATGCCATTAAGTGCTAATATCCAAAGAATGCCATAGATTATCCTAATTATTTCTTATAATGAGCCCGGCAAGAGGAGAAACTCCAAACAATGCAGTGAAACATTTTGTGTTCTTCCCTAAAAAATGAGAGTTTTGGAGCGTGCTGAGTGAGGCTCTGTAAATTGATGACACGGATCTCCGGGATGGGAAAGGAGCACAATGACAAAGCTCCAGTTGGGACACTTGGATGCACAGTGGGACATTCCCAAACCCTCTGATTTTTCACAGGGTGTTGCTGGTCCATGGTTGTAACACGAGCTGGGAAAGACTTGAGAAGTCAAGCAAATCCATAGACAGGAAGTTTATCCCAGAATTCTTCAGGCTGGAAAAGACCTCCAAGACCATCGAGTCCCAGAATCCTTGAGGTTGGAAAAGACCTCCAAGACCATTGAGTCCGTGATCTGCCTGATCCCCACCAGAGCACCAAGTACCACATCCAGGAATTCCTTGGACAACTCCAGGGGTGGGGACTCCAAACCTCCCTGGGCATTTCTAAGGCCCAGCCACCCTTTCCATAGGGAAATTCCTCCTGGTGCCCACCCTGAGCTCCCCTGGCCCAGCCTGAGGCCGTTCCCTCTCCTCCTGTCCCTGTTTCCTGGGAGCAGAGCCCAACTCTCCATGGCTGTCCCCTCCTGGCAGGAGCTGTGGGAAGTGAACAGGTGCCATATCCGGGATTCCATGGGAAATCCGTGGTGGGATCACTGACAAGGAGAGCTGAGAGCTTCAGGATGTGGGAAATGTGAGGATGGGCTTCATCCCCCCCCCAAGCACATGGACAATGCAGACATTGCCATCACAGATTTCTACAGAGTGACATCCCCATGGGATTTTGGAACTGACCTCACTTCCATTTTTATTTTGGGATGCTGACTTCTCTCCATGGGTTGACTGCATTGACTCAACCCAACCATGATGGAGCCTGAGGTTCAGGCTGGACACCAGCAGGAATTTCCTCATGGAAAGGGTGGTCAGGCATGGGAAGGGGCTGCCCAGGGAGGGTTGGAGTCGCCATCACTTGGAAGTGTCCAAGGAATTCCTGGATGTGGCACTCAGTGCTCTGGGCTGGGACAAAGCTGGGATGGGGGACCTGCCAACCATTCCAAGGTGGGATGACTTCGGAATTCTTTTCCCATGCAATGATTCTGTCTGAGGTCCCTCTCACAGACAGCACCTCCTCTTTGCAGATGAGCCTCACTCTTTCCCGTGACACCACATCCTCCCTCCATTTTCCATTCCAAAATGTTTTGTTTTGTTTTTTTCCATATGGGAAAGAGAAAAGTCGTGCATTCCCCATCCATGGAAGTGTTGTGAGCCCAGCTGGATGCACCTTGTGCTGGGATGGTCAGGAATGTTTCCACAGCCATAAACTCCAGAGGATATCAGGGGAATGTAGATGGGAATCAAACCATCAACCTTGACTGCTGCAGGAGCAGCTTTTCCTTGGCTCAGGAACTGGGAATCCCTCTGAACCAATGGATTAAGACTGGGAAAGGATGGGATGAGGCTGTGAAAGATGAGTAGGGTGGAAAACTCCCCAAAAGAGGGCGAGTGTTGAAAAGAGAGGACAAAGACACGAATCCTGGAAAAACGCTGCTCTGGGAAGACTCACAAACTGCGATTTGTCCGCTGGAGGTGCTTCCGTGATGGATTTCAAGTCCTCCTCGGAGATCCGCTCCATCTCCTCCAGGGCTGACCCGGAGTACAGGACTGCGTCCTTCACGAAGATGCTGACGGCCCTCAGCATGAAGGACACAAACAGGTGCATGTGGATGTAGTTCCTAGTGCAGTGCAAACGTCTGGAAGAGGAGAAGAAGGATTGGGAAGTTCAGTCTGGTTGCTGGATGAAGCCAGGGCCACGTCTGGCTCTGGAGAGCCTCAGCTCCTCCCACCAGCACCGTGTCCCCATGGGGAGCAGAGAGAGGGTCGTGGATCCCTGCTCTCCCATGGGGTTGGGAAGTGGATTAATACCTTCTCCAGGGGCTTCAGGGAATCATGAAATAGTTTGGAATGGATGGGACTTCAAGCCCATCCAATCCCACCCACTGCCATGGGCAGGGATGCCTCCCACTATCCCAGGCTGCTCCAAGCCCCCTCCAACCTGGCCTTGGATGCTTCCACGGATCCAGGGCCAGCCACTGCTGCTCTGGCTCTGGGCACCCTATGCCAGGGCCTTCCAACCCTGCCAGCCAGGAATTCCTTCCTAAAATCTGCTCTAACCCTGCCCTCTGGCAGTGGGAATTCCCGCTCTCCTATCCACTCCTGCCCTTGGATTCCAGAGGCTCCGGAACCTGGGGCCACTGGAAACCTCACAGAACTTCCTGTAAACCATTAATTTTTTTGCCCAGCTCAGTTTAGGATTAACTCCAGCAATAACTCAGGTGTGCTGGGCTGTTCTCCCTCTTTTCCTGCTGTAAATGTCATCCTTTGGAGCATCTTGTGGGCTCCACCCCAGCAGTGGCAGCAGTGACCCCACAAATCCCAGCTGTAAAGCGCTTTAAGGTCCTTTTTGGAGGAAAAGCTTTTTTGGGGATGGTGAGAGGTGAATGGGTCAGAACCAGGAAGAAGAGGTGTATTTTGGAATCAGGATTTTGGGAAGAAGGAACTGACCTCTTGGGGTCCCCTCTGTCCTCTGGAGCTCTGGTGCCGTGCCTGGATTTATGAATGGATTTATATTCCTCTTAAATCCCAATAATCTGCACTAATTAAAGGCTGTGTTTTTATCCCTCTTGCAGGATGTTATGATAACAACACCAGTTGTTCGCTGTGCTTTTATAATCCAAATTACACCAAGTGGAACTGATGAGGTTTATTAAATGAGGATTGGCTTTGTTCCCTGCATTTGAAAGGGAGTCAATGGATCTCTGCGTTATCGAGGATAAAATCTGCCTTGATCCCTGCTGCTACCCTGATCCTTGGGATAAAGATGCTCCAGCACAGCTGCCCAGGTCGTTTGGGCTGGAAATGAAGTGGGATAAAGACATGGATAAAGAAAAACCAGGAATTCTCTTGCACACGTGGACATGGAATATTTTAACAAACATGCGAGTGTCCAGTGGGAAATGAAGCGGAAGGAAAAGGTCAGGAGAGCAGGAGTGTGGTGTTGGGATGGGGTCTGCAGTCCCCTTTGGATTGGGTCTTTCATGGATTTGGGATTTTCTGTCCATGCAAACCCTCCTGACACCTTTTGCTGTCAGCTGAGAGCTCTGAGCACTTTCAGAGCCCAAAGCCACACATTTCATTCCCAGTGTTCCATGTCCAGGGCTTGGCCCAAGCTTCCCAAATCCCTCTGCAGACACCACGTGGCTGTTTCGCCACCACCAGCTCTTCTCCAGGTCCTGCTGGCTTTTTTTTTAGGAGAAGACACGAGCAGACATCGAAGGGAAGCAAATCTGGGGCTCAGGGTTTGGGGTCATCCTGTTCTATGGGGTCACCAGTAGAACATTCCCAAAGGAAAAATCCCTGGATGTGGGTGACACCTTTCATCCCTCTCATCCCATGCTGTCTGTGATAGCAAGAATCCCAGAATCCCAGAACGGTTTGGGCTGGAAGGGACCTTAAATATAATCTCATTCCAACCCCCACACCTTCCACTATCCCAGGCTGCTCCAAGCCCTGTCCAGCCTGGCCTTGGACACTTCCAGGGATGGAAGCTGCAACACTGGATTGAGGAATACATAATGAGGGTTCAAAGTGGCATTTTGGGGTCTGAATCCCTTGGCAGGGATGGTGGGAAGGGAAGGGACACAGGTGGATCTGTTTTGGACCCCTGGGAAGAGCAGCAGTGTGGGGAGATTGGAGGAATCAGCCTGGGAGTTTTCCATCCTTTTCAACTGGGTTTTTCTTCACGAACATTTGGATTTAGAGTGGGATTTCCCTCAGGAAATCTTATTTCTCTGCAAATCAGCCATCTTAAGCTAAGACAGTCACCTGCAGGGACAACAAGGACAGAAAATCCTGGACAGTTTTCCAAGGGATTCCTGGAGACACCCCTCTTCCCATTTGCTACAAAGAGGGCCTGGAAAACTCCACCTGAGGGAATTGGAAGGAGTTCCAAGATCCCACCCACCGTCCCCCAGGAAGTTTGCCCTAAGATAGCCTAACACAGCCCAAATCACAGATGCCACCACCACTGGAGGCTTCCTGAACTGTGCCACCCCAGTTTTATCCTTCCGGAAAAACCCGCGGCTTTTCCGCTGTCGCTTAGGTAAAAACAGAGCCGCCTACCTGAAGTATCCCAGGATAAGGACAGCAACTGTGAGGGATCCCAGGGAGATGGAGTATCCAACAGTATAAATCAAATAGAGGCGATCAAAGACCTCCTGCAGCAGAAACGATGGAGAAAAGAGCGTCACATCGGGAACGCGGCCCTACTGCACCACACAACCCTGGCAGAGCCCCCATCCTTCGGGAATCCCATCTTTTTGGCAGCTTTGGGAAGTGGGGTTTTTGTTCCCTGAGGTGGCGAGGTGGGATTTTCCCAAGGGGTTTATGGTGGATTTGGGTTAATCCCATACCTGGGAGTTACGTGGTGTTTTCATCCCAAAGGACCCCAAAGCGCTTTACAAACTCCTGACCCAATTCAAGGATCACTTGGGAATTTTCACCTGGATAAAAATGCCTGCTGGCCTGGGAATTTTGCAAGGGATTAATGATGGAGTGGGGTTAATCCCATGCCTTGGAATTTCACAGCATTTCATCCCAAAGGAACCCAAAGCGCTTTACAAACTCCTGACCCAATTCAAGGATCACTTGGGAATTTTCACCTGGACAAAAATGCCTACTGGACTGGGAGTTTTGCTGGAATTGCACAATTTAGCCGTTGCTGGATGACTGATGTCCAGCCTGGGGGAGCGTAACCCACACCAGAAAACACGGGAAGGAAATACTTTGGCTATGGGATATGAGGAAAAAAAATCACCTGCGTTTATTTTCCCATTTTTTAAATCCCAAGCAGCCTCTGCCTGTGGTTATCCAATCCAGACACAACCTGAGCTTGCCAAAATGCCACTGGAAAAGGTCCCGTCACAGGAGAGTTCCTAATAATTAATCCTTTAGGAAGTTTTAGGTTGCTGTTTTCTAAAGCTGGCCTTGAAACCCTGAGGTTTCCGTTAAATATCGGGATATTTTCCTTGATCCAACTCTGGGATTCCTGGAAAGGGTTAAAATGCCTGCTGCCTCCATCCCAGACTGTCCTGCCTTTCCCAGACTGATTTCAGCGAAAAAATCCCAAAAAAACCCAACCAGTTCAGCATCTTTCTCCTCATTCCCTCCTTTCCCTCGCCCTGCCCACGGGGCTGAAATAACGTCAGGAATGCTGGGCTCTGAATGACAGCTCTGATTGGGATTTGAGGCTTGGAACGCTCTCCTGGAATGCCAAACCTCAGCCCTATTACATCAGAATCCACAGATTTGGGAATGTTTCTCTGCGGTTTGCACTGGAGGAGTGAAGCCCTTGCCAATATTAATTTACTGAGTGTGTCTGTGCGTATTTATGGGATATTTTTATAGATTTTTATAGATCTGTCTGTGCAGGCAGCAGGCCCTGAAAAGCCAAGAAGAAGAGATTTCAAAGCTTTCAGGGAAAAATATCCTGGTGTGATTTCCCTGCTGCCAAGCTGGAATCCTCTTGGAGCTGGAAAACGGTTGCCTCCATAGTAAAAAATGAAATAATAATAATAATAATAATAATAATAATAATAATAATAATAATCTCATGTCAAGGTTTGAGTTTTCAGTAAAACAAAAGTTGTGAGGCCTTAACACAACATCCCTGAGCCCCATTCACAAATTTCACTGGGAAGATCCATGTTCCTGTGGGTGGGAGTGTCCTTGGGAAGAGCCTCTGGATTGGCAGGAGGTTTTGGAAAGTTGAGCGCTCTGATTGACCACAGGGCCTCTCTTTGAAAGGAGGTTGAGCACCAAGAGCCAAGAAAGCCTCTCCTGGAGCCTTCCTTGGAGGAGGGGGCGTCTCAAATCCTACCTGGAGTCACTCTGGAGAGCCCGTGGGAAATGTGATTTCCTGGAGGGGGTACTCAGATCTTTGGGAAACCCTTTGGAGCAAAAAACTGAGGTTCTCCTCTTCCACTTCTCCCTCACTTGGAGCTCAGGACTGGTAGTTCCCAGGGGCTTTTCCTCCCTGGATTTACCCATGAGGGGACAAAATCTCCAGAGGAGTTCCGTGTATCCCGAGGGAGGTGCTGACTCCATGAAAACCTCAACGAACAACCAGGAAAGATTGTCCAGGTAGGAAAATATTGAATGATCTGCCAGCTGCAACGACAATCTCCACGGTCTGAGGAGCATCCTTAGGGAGCTGAGATGGATGGGAAGTTAAATAATTCCCAGAAAACCACAAAGGCCATGATGGCCAAGCCATGGACACGACCTGGAGATCCATCACTCCAGGAAGTTCCCACCTGAAGTCTCCTGGAAGTCCACCCTGAGGAGAGCCTGACCATCCCTGGTCATCCCTTGTTGGAAGAGGCCAAACTTGGCTTTGCCATGAGATCCTGGTCTATAAAGTAACTAAACCGATGGGATTCAATTTAATTATCATTTAATCAGAATATTCAGGGCTTTGAGCAACCTGGGCTGGTGGAGGTGTCCCTGCCCAGGACACAGAGCTGGAACTGGCTGGACTTCAAGGTCTCTTCCAACCCCAATCAATTCAGGATTCCAGGATTCCATGAATTAGATTCCTGCAGGAACCCTCCACTCTTTCAACTGTTGCCATGTGTGCAAAAAGAAAAGGAAAACCAGACAGAGCAGGAATTTTCTGGTGGCAGATCCTGTCCTGAGTTTCATGGAGCTGTGCCCTGTATCCAAATTTTTCCTTTCATCCTTTTTATTCCCCTTCAGCAAGACACCAGGAGCAGCGGGGCTGTGAAGCTGGCAGGGATACAGTGCTTTTTGAGGAATGGGAAGGCTGTGAAGGGTGGGATAAGCAGCACAGAAAAGCATAAATCAGGATTTTCCAGATGAAATTTCTGCAGAGTTTCTCCGAGCTGCTGATTCCGATGTCATTGAGGACGCATTTGGAATTGGGGATTTGCTGCTTCAAGTGATAAATAAAGCCAGAAAATCTCTGTCCTTGATTTTCTTGTCAGTTTGTTTTTTTTTACAGCAAAATGGGACTAAATAAAAAGCTAAATGGGATATTCAGAAAAAGGGATATTCACAAAAGGCACAGAACAGCCTCAGGGAAAACTCTGAGTGTTGATGACCCTGTTCCTGCAGGACTCTGTTCCCCTCATCCACTGAGATTCCAGGCTCTTAAATCCTCCCTGTCTGGAGCGTGAGAGCGTGACTGGGATCAGCTCTCACAAAAGATCCCCAATTTAGCCTCAGACACTCCAATTTTCTCTCAGACACCTCAATTTAGACACGCATGTCCATAAAAATCATCTTTAAGCTCCTTTTCAACCTAAGCCATTCCAAGATTCTTGGATTCTATTTCCAGGAACGCACCAGACCAAATCCATAGGCATGGAATGAGACTGGCACCTCGGGGTTAATTGAAATTATGAACAAAACATCTCTCAGATAATTTTTTCTATTCCTCCACAGACTTTAAAACCTCTGCCCGTGTCCTGCTGCAGACGCCTGACACTTTGCTGACATTCCTTTGTGGAAATTGGGGACAAAACAATCCGAACCCGTTCCTGTGCCGTCACTTTGAGGCTCCACAAAGTTGTTTGCTTTTCCCAGGACCCCAGAGAGCTCCAGGACTGCTGCTTGGAACAATGGGGTTTAGATAAAGCAGCCCTGCAACACGCTGGGCCCTTCCCATTGTGTTTGGAAGGGGATGGATTCTCCAGGCCCCTCCGAATTCCCGGGAAGCCGTAAAAGCCTCACGCTACAAACAAGCGGGAGCAGATGAAGGCAGGATTGGGGTTGGATCTGAGGATGGCCCATCCTGCTGGTGGTGGCTCCCAAGCTGAGCCAACCTCCCAAGTTGCTGGCTCCGACTCTCCTTCCGCAGGGTTTTGGGAGATGGAGATCCCATTCACCCTTCAGCTCACCCTTGGAAAGAGGATGGGTTTGGGCTGCTTTAAAAAGCAGCTGTGTTTGGCATCCCTGTTCTTTTGGGGGAGATGGGAATGAGGGGAATTCCTGGGAATGCCATTGCTGCTGCCACTGTTAGAAAAAGTGACCGGAAAAATGATCCTGCTGCTGTTGGCTGGATGTGTGGAAGGTAAGGGATCCACAGCCTGTCAATTGTATGGAATTTGGGGAGAAACGGGCTAAAAAGCTGCCTGAGGTTCATCACTGTCATCTGTTCTTCATTTTTTTCCAAAGATTCAGGAGCTCCAGGAACACAGGTCACCCTCCCTCCTGATTTTAAGGGAATTCAGGGAACAAAGGAGAAGGGCCAGGACAAAAGTCCTTTTAACTCTGCTCCCTGTCTCCTTCATGGCCTGGAAGGGGTGCTTAGGGAAGAGTGTGGGAACAGAACAAATCCACAATAAATACGAGCTGCTGAAACAAATCCAGAGGAGGTCACAGAGCTGCTCCAGGACTGGAGCCAGGCTGGGAGAGATGGGAATGTTCACCTGGAGAGGAGAAGGTCCAGGGAGAGCTCAGAGCCCTGCCAGGGCCTGAAGGGGCTCCAGGAGAGCTGGAGAGGAACTGGGGACAAGGATGGAGGGACAGGACACAGGGAATGGCTCCCACTGCCAGAGGGCAGGGATGGGTGGGAGATTGGGAATTGGGAATTCCTGGCTGGGAGGGTGGGGAGGCATGGGAATGGAATTCCCAGAGCAGCTGTGGCTACCCCTGGATGCCTGGAAGTGCCCGAGGCCAGGTTGGACTGTCCCAGGAGCAGCCTGGGACAATGCAGGTGTCCCTGCCATGAGGGACAAGCCCACCCAGTGCCACCCCTGCCATGGACAGGGACATCTTCCACTGTCCCAGGCTGCTCCCAGCCCTGTCCAGCCTGGCCTGGGACACTTCCAGCTGATTGTTCTCTCCCTCTTTAACGTTATCTGGCAGGAATTTGAGGAAACACTTCCCTGGATTGCTTCATCCTACCTGACTAAAGGAGGAATCAACCTCCAGGGCTGTCAATTCCCATCCTCCAGTGGGAATTTTCCCTGAGGAAGCAGCCCAGGAGCAGTCCCTCTCCGGGCAGTTACGAGCTGTTAATTCTGCAGGCTCTGATGGCTTTAACACACTTTGCTCTTTGCAGAGAGCGGTTTCCGAGCTGCTCTGTGTGAAATAATCCCCATTTATTCGGGGCAGGACACCAGCTTGCTCTGGGGCCCTCTTGTTTGCTGCTTGGGCCAATCTTAAAATTATCCCAGCATGGCTAAAATGGGAAAACTCCCCACCTAAACAAACATCCCTGGCTGGAGATGTGCGCACGCACGTGGTGTTTATTTAGGTGTGGATATCTCCAGCTATCTATAGGTTCAGGCCTGTTTCCAGAGATAGCCAGCAAATCCATATATTTATAGCCACAGACAGTTGGTTTGTTTTTTGGTTTTTTTTTTTTTTTTTTTTTTTTTTTTTTTTTTTTTTTTTTTTTTCTAATAGCCCAGTTTCTTAAAATTCCCTCTGGTTGCATCTGCTCGGAGTCAGCCACAATCTCCTGGCAAAACGTTGGGTAAATGCAGCTGTTGGTGGTGACGCAAAGATGCCGCTCCCCAGGGAGGGAAATAATAATAGAAAACCATCTCTCGCTCAAGACAACGGCTCAATGTGGCCAAATTCCCCTGTTCTGACATCTCTGGACATATTTACCCCATGAAAAAGAGATATCAAAGGAAGGTTTATTAATCCCAGGGCTGCAGTGCCACATTTGTGTGTGACAAGAGGCCTTGTGTGCTCTCTGTGAGTAAAGGCATCGGCACACTGAGGGAAAAAATTGCATTTTTATCCCCTTATTTTATTTCCAGAGTGGTTTTTATACCCCAAGGCCCAAGAGACCTGCAGTGGATGCACAGATAGTGCTTCATTTGTCACCAGAATTCAGCCACTTCTGTGATAAAACCAGGGAATTCCATGACAAGGCATAGAATTGCTGAGGGCAGGGCTGAGGAAAAGACCTCTTACAAACACAAGGCTAATAATAATAATAATATTAAAATTAATAAAGAGGTGTTGTTGAAAATATAATCCATGAAAAAAAGAAATCAAAGGAAGGTTTATTAATCCCAGGGCTGCAGTGCCACATTTGTGTGTGACAAGAGGCCTTGTGTGCTCTCTGTGAGTAAAGGCATTGGCACACTGAGGGAAAAAATTGCATTTTTTCCCCCCTCTTTTATTTCCAGAGTGGTTTTTATACCCCAAGGCCCAAGAAACCTGAGTGGATGCACTTTATTTGCCACAATAATTCATCCACCTCTGTGATAAAATCAGGGAACTCTGTGACAAGGCACAGAATTGCTGATGTGAGGCCAGGCCTGAGGAAGAGACCTCTTGCAGATATAAAGTTAATGATAAGAATAAAAATTGATAAATAGATGTCATTAAAAAGCATTTGTTGATCAAGATATGATTTAAAAGCTGGCAGAAACATCAACTTTTTCTGTGTTCTTTGCCCTGGGTAAGCACCATTAAGTAAGATCAGCCTGGTCATTTAATCTGAACGGTGATGATGGTTGAATTTGTCTTAATATTAAATATTATTCCATTCACCTTTGTAGCTATGACAGAAAATTCCTGGTAAAAGATGCCTCAGCTTTGGCTACAGGATAATGAGGGTGAGGATTTTGGGGTGGGTTATTAGAACAGCCCCTTAAGGGAGAGTTTATGAGGAGCAGTAATTTTCCAAGAGGTTGAGAATAAAAAGGAGGTGACACCTCCTGTAAATGTCTCTGCTGGAAAGCACTGCCCGAGTCCCCCGTGCTGTGATCCCCCTGTTGTTGGAACCCTGGCTGCTGAGAATTTTGGGCTTTCTGTGCTGACAGGCCCTGACCCCCAGGAGAACACTGCACTGACCTGGGGCACTGGAGAAGCTTCCAAAATGGAATGACAGAACTGGGATTGTGGGGGTGGAGTTTGGATAGAAGTGTGTGATATCACAGGCTGGGAAACTCTGAGGGTTTAGAATACAGGAATAGATGTAAAGCAAGATGGAGGTTTTGGGGTGGAGGCTGCTCCTCCTTCTCCTTCTCCCTCTCCCTCTCCCTCTCCTTCTCCTTCTCCTTCTCCTTCTCCTTCTCCTTCTCCTTCTCCTTCTCCTTCTCCTTCTCCTTCTCCTTCTCCTTCTCCTTCTCCATGGGTTTGGGTGGTTTTGTGTAATTGGATAAAAAAGTCCCCATTGCAGGCACGGGTGGTTGGTTATTGTGTTAAAAGTAAAAATAATTCAGGTGTAATTTCCTAATTGGACAGTTGATCCTCAAAAGGCCTTGCAGAGAGAGATGGGCTCCATGTTTAGTTTGTCAGAGTGAGGGGCTGCAGAACTCAGGGTTTGTGGGACTGTGACAGAGATAAGAACTGATAAACATCCCAGTCCCAACATGAAATTCCATCTCACGCATTTAATCCCAACCCTGGCAAGAAGAAGCAAAGACTCCTCACCCTGTGACCACTCAGTGGACACAGACGAAGTCAGGCACATCAAACCCACCACAGGAGATTTTGCTTTCAACCTTTTAAATCACCCTGGAGGTGGAAAGTCTCTATTTATTCCTTGTGGTGCAAAAAATAAAAAAAATGGGGGGGCAACTCTGTTGCTCTTTGTGCCCTTCCTTTAGCAAGTCACCCTGACAAGTCCTGCCAGTGGGAGGTTAAAAGGGAAGGATGTCCTTTCCCTAGGAGAAGTTCTGGAATTCAGCTGGACAATGCCCAACCCAGGGTGTGGCTCAGGGCAGTGGGACAGGGGAGATGATTTCCGAGAGGTCAAAAGTTTGCACATTGATCAAGGTGTTCCATGACCCCAACACCCACTCCAGGACCTTCCTGGAAAACTCCGGGGCTAAAAGAGTTCTTTCCACTATGAACTGGGAAAAACCCCACCAAACTGGTTCCGGAAGGGAACATCACCCAGGTCTTTGCTGGAGTGGCTGGAGCAGCACCCAGGGCACACAATCCTCTGCTCCTTGTCCATTTGAGAGAAAACACTCAGCAGCTCTAAGAAATCATTTCCTCCTTTCCCTCATTTCCTTATTTTCCTTAATCGCTTCATTTGTGAGTTGCTTCACTCTTAAGGAGAAAAAAGCAACAACAACAAAAAAAAAGGCAACAAAAAATGAAAACCAAGCAAACAAACAAAGAAACCAAACAAAAAATAAATTAAAAAAACATCAAAAAAACAAAACAAAAAAAAGAATCAAAACGCCCTACTCTGTGGTTAGATTTAAAATTAAGAACATTGTCCCGAAGGGCCCCTGGGTCATCCTCAAGGAAGCTGTGGTTAGATCCTTATCTCCAGCTGTCTGGGATAATCCTCCCTCCTCCCTGCAGCTGATCAGTCCCTGGTGCCGTGCCTGTATCCAGGGAGACTCTTCCAAGAGCCACTGGAAAACCAGAGGGTTTGGGTGGATTCTTTGGAATTACAGGTGCGTGTGGGTGGGAACGTCATTCTCTGTGGGACAAGGAGGTCACATCCTCCCGAGTGACACCAGGGACAGCTTTGCTGTCACCTTAGCATGGAATTCCTTCCAGACTTCTGGCATTACAGAGCCCCAGGCTGGGTCATGGGGAGGAAGGAAGTTTCTGCCAGCTGCTATTTTATCATTATCGGAATTTTTGTAAATTTATGGCTCATGGAATTTTTTTCCCCATCCCAGGAGTAGGCCAGACCCTCTCCATGTGCTTTGAAACCCTTTTCCAACTTTGGACTGCTGTCACTGTTTCCACATTGTGACGACACCAGAATTAATTCAAGATCATGGAATACCAGTTGGGTTTGGGTGGGAAGGGATCTTAAGGATCATCCCATTCCACTCTCTGCCATAGGCAGGGACACCTCCCACTGTCCCAGATTGCTCCAAGCCCCATCCAGCCTGGCCTTAGACAATTCCAGGGATTCAGGGGCGCCCACAGCTATCTGGGCACCTTGTGCCAGGGCCTCACCTCCCTCAGCCAGGAATTCCTTCCCAATATCTCATCTGATTCTACTTCTTTCAGCTCAAAGCCATTCCCTGTGTCCTGTCCCTCCATCCCTTGTCCCCTGTCCCTCTCCAGCTCTCCTGGAGCCTCTTTAGGACCTGGAAGGGCTCTGAGCTCTCCCTGGAGCTTCTCCAGGGGAACATTCCCAGCTCTCCCAACCAGTCGCTCTGGATTTGATTCCACATATGTTTGGACATCCCCTCCCAGAGACAACCACATAAACACTGGAATTTTTGATAACAACCTGGCAGCAAAAGGATTTCCTGCTGTGGCAGAGGGAGTCTCAATGCCATGGAACAACCTCCAACCACTTCTGAGCGTCCCTGAGACTGCTCCAATTTTCCCCAAGATCTCTTCAGGAATGGGACCATGGCAGCTGCAGGAAACTTTTCTGCCTTTGAGGACAATTTTCCAATCAAATCACCGCCCATCAAAGCACGGTGTGGCTTTGGCAAGCTCAAGAAGGGTTTCCAAGAGGAGGAAGATGAGCTGGGGCTCATCTGGGGTTTTAAATGAGACAGAGGTCCGTGGGTTAGCCTGGCGTGAGGCCAGAAATTCCTGCTGCCTGCAGGAGTGGGAATGCCTACCCTTTCCCTCGTCTCGTTGGTGAGGAACTTGGCGCACTCGCTGTAGTTGGCCCAGGTGCGGTTGTTGCCCGGGACCAGCTCCCAGCTCCCGTTCAGGTCACACCGGCGATAAGCGTGGCCTGCCGAGAGAGAGGAGACACGGATCAGTGGGAAAATGGCAGGAAATTCATCCCAAATTAATCCCTGAAAAGACAGAGGAGACACGGATCAGTGGGAAAATGGCAGGAAATTCATCCCAAATTCATCCCTGCCGAGAGAGGGGAGACACGGAATCAGAAGGAAAATGGCAGGAAATTAATCCCAAATTCATCCCTGATGAGAGAGAGGAGACACGGAATCAGAGGGAAAATGGCAGGAAATTCATCCCAAATTCATCCCTGACGAGAGAGGGGAGACACGGAATTAGTGGGAAAATTATGGGAAATTCATCCCAAATTCATCCCTGCCAAAAAAGGGGAGACACGGAATCAGCGGGAAAACGGTGGGAAATTCATCCCAAATTCATCCCTGGCGAGAGAGAGGAGACACGGAGTCAGTGGGAAAATGATGGGAAATTCATCCCAAATTCATCCCTGCCAAGAAAGGGGAAGACACGGAATCAGTGGGAAAATGGCAGGAAATTCATCCCAAATTCATCCCTGCCAAGAAAGGGAAGACACGGAATCAGTGGGAAAATGGCAGGAAATTCATCCCAAATTCATCCCTGCCAAGAGAGAGGAGACACGGAATCAGCGGGAAAACGGTGGGAAATTCATCCCAAATTCATCCCTGGTGAGAGAGAGGAGACACGGAATCAGTGGGAAAATGGCAGGAAATTAATCCCAAATTCATCCCTGGCGAGAGAGAGGAGACACGGAGTCAGTGGGAAAACGATGGGAAATTCATCCCAAATTCATCCCTGACGAGAGAGAGGAGACACGGAATCAGTGGGAAAATGGCAGGAAATTCATCCCAAATTCATCCCTGCCAAGAAAGGGGAGACACGGAATCAGTGGGAAAATGGCAGGAAATTCATCCCAAATTCATCCCTGAAAAGAGAGGGGAGACACAGAATCAGTGGGAAAATGGCAGGAAATTCATCCCAAATTCATCCCTGATAAGACAGAGGAGACACGGAATCAGCGGGAAAACGGTGGGAAATTCATCCCAAATTCATCCCTGATAAGAGAGAGGAGACACGGAGTCAGTGGGAAAATGGCAGGAAATTCATCCCAAATTCATCCCTGATAAGACAGAGGAGACACGGATCAGTGGGAAAATGATGGGAAATTAATCCAAATTCATCCCTGCCAAGAGAGAGGAGACACGGAATCAGTGGGAAAATGGCAGGAAATTCATCCCAAATTCATCCCTGATAAGAGAGAGGAGACACGGAATCAGTGGGAAAATGGCAGGAAATTAATCCCAAATTCATCCCTGCTGAGACAGAGGAGACACGGAATCAGCGGGAAATTAGTTGGAAAAGTTGGAAGAATATTTTGGGGTTCTATTGCTACACACAGGTCATGGAGCCCAACAAATCCAGGTTTGGGAATCGCCAGGATTTACAACTGGGAGCTGTGCACAGGTAATTGGTGTTTAGAACGTCACAGTCCGTGAGGGGCAAGTGGCAATTTTGTGATAATTTCAGTTCCAACTGGGCTTTTTTCCCCAATAATTTATGTTTGTCAATAAACAATGGCCGCTCCTTTCCTTCCTTCCTTTTCCCTCATGCTCGG